GCGGGACGCGGCACGCGCGAGACATCCTCGGAATTCTTGCGAGCGGGACGTGAAAACAAGCATTTCGCCTGAGACACCCTCTGAATTCTGGACCCCCACGAGGCCCCCCACGAGGCCCCTGCTCGAGACATCCCCCAACTTTGCAAAACCAGCGTTTCGCTCGAAACGTCTTCAACAAATTATGAAAGACAAGCATTTCGCTCGAGACATCCTGCCAAAATTCAAGGAAATCCTAGCAAAACAAACGAATTAGTCGAGACATCCTCGAAATTCCTGCGCGCGGGACGCGGCACGCGCGAGACATCATCGGAATTCCTGCGCGCGGGGCGCTTTTCCGTGTCGCGGTCGGCTCTGCAAAACCAGCGTTTCGCTCGAGACATCCTCAACAAATTCTGAAAACAAGCGTTTCGCTTGAGACATCCCCAACTCTGCAAAACCAGCGTTCCGCTCGAGACATCCTCAACAAATTCTGAAAAACAAGCGTTTCGCTAGGGACATCCTCAATTTTTAATTCGCCGGCCCTACGCGACCTCGTTATTTATCGCAAAAGAAATTCGCCGGCCCTACAGCCGTCAAAACCGAGGGGAAACAAACTAAAAGAGAACCCTGGGCCTATGCCCTTTCCGGGAAAAGGCAAACGACTGCCTCCAAAATCATCCGAAACGCTTACGTTTGAACAACCATGTGGCAAAACAGTTGGATCTTCAATAATTTCACTTATTCAGGCGTCGTGGGGGTCCTCCAAGAGCGCCCGCCAAAGATGGCGTGCAACAGCTATTTCAGCATTTCATGGTTTGAATGGTCACTCACGCGAGAGCCTCATTTTCGAAGGTCCAAAGGTTTCGCAACCGATTCCACATGTTCATCTTATGAGGATGTCTCGAACGAGGGCTGCATCTTCAGCATTCACGGCCATCCAGTCCCATCAGCATCGGGAGCGCCCCAGATCGGCGGAACTGGCCAGAGGCCACTACAATATGTATCTATCTATATACACATACTGCGCCACCTAGATCGCACCACGTAGCTTGCACTACACATATTACCGCTGCTGAATGAAACTTAGGATCTACGGCCCATCCCAGTTTCGTTTGCATTGCATGTTCTATATCATGTTCCCCCAACTGGTATCGACCCTCCCCCGCCATCCTTTGCACAAAATAGTATTGGCGCACACTCGCTTACCACAAACCAGCAGCTTTCAAGAATCAGTTGATAAGGACGGGACGAAGTGCAAACGCGCGCAACGTCGCGTGCGCATGCCGAACATCTTCACACATCTGCATGGCTTCGTAAACATGATCGACCCACGAACCCGGAAAGGAATATAGAAATGTAACGCATGGCAACGTGTTCAAAGACACCTGATTGGGTGACGGGCAAGTGCAACGCTGATTGTATCGATCTTGATGTACCGTGCCGAGGGCTGTGCTGTGCTGCACCGTGCTGAATTGCGATGTGCCATGCCGCGGTTGTGCTCTATAGCGTCGTGGATCGAGTCCTCCTTTGCATCCGAGTCCTGACCGAACTGATCTGGATCTGAAGCTCGAGCTGCCTGAACACATAGTAGCTGCCCCAGAGCTAATTGACAGGGGGACATGCCAGGAGGACGCGCCGCGAAACGTCCCAAGGGACGCGCCAGGCGACGTGCCAAGGGACGTGCCATGGGGTAGCACCGTAGGACGTGCCAAGGGGACGCGCTACGGGACATCCTCAAAATTCCTGCGCGCGGGACGCGGCCCGCGCGAGACATCCTTGGAATTCCAGCGAGCGGGACACGAAAACAAGCATTTCGCCTGAGACATCCTCTGAATTCTGGCCCCCCGCTCGAGACATCTCCAAATTTTGCGGAAACCAGCGTTTCGCTCGAGACATCCTCCACAAACTATGTAAAATAAGCGTTTCGCTCGAGACATCCTGCCAAAATTCTCAGAAATCCTAAACATGCCAGGAGGACGCGCCGCGAAACGTCCCCAGGGACGCGCCAGGCGACGTGCCAAGGGACGTGCCATGGGGTCGCACCGTAGGCCGTGCCAAGGGGACGCGCTACGGGACATCCTCAAAATTCCTGCGCGCGGGACGTGGCACGCGCGAGACATCTTCCGAATTCCTGCGAGCGGGACGTGAAAACAAGCATTTCGCCTGAGACATCCTCTGAATTCTGGCCCCCCACGAGGCCCCCGCTCGAGACATCCCCAAGTTTGCAGAAACCAGCGTTTCGCTCGAGACATCCTCAACAAATTATGAAAAACAAGCGTTTCGCTCGAGACATCCGGTCAAAATTCTAAGAAATCCTGACAAAACAAACGAATTAGTCGAGACATCCTCGAAATTCCTGCGCGCGGGACGCGGCCCGCGCGAGACATCCTTGGAATTCCCGCGAGCGGGACACGAAAACAAGCATTTCGCCTGAGACATCCTCTGAATTCTGGCCCCCCGCTCGAGACATCTCCAAATTTTGCGGAAACCAGCGTTTCGCTCGAGACATCCTCCACAAACTATGTAAAATAAGCGTTTCGCTCGAGACATCCTGCCAAAGTTCTAAGAAATCCTGACAAAACAAGCGAATTAGTCGAGACATCCTCGAAATTCCTGCGCGCGGGACGCGGCACGCGCGAGACATCCTCGGAATTCCTGCGCGCGGGGCGCTTTTCCGAGTCGCGGTCGGGGCTCCAGACCCCGTTATTTTTCGAGGATTCTGCGAAAAACGCTCCGCACCCTCTTTTTTACGAGGGAAAGCGGGGGTCTGCGGACCCCGTTATTTATCGAGGATCCGAGATGGGGGGCGAACTTTCCTCGAGCGGGCACGCACAAAACGCACTTTTTCTAAAAAAATCAGCACTTTACCTCGTTATTTATCGCAAATAATTTCGCCGGCGCTTGACCCGTCAGATCCGGGGGTAAACGGCTAAAAGAGAACCCTGGGCCCGCGCCCTTTCCGGGAAAAAATGAAACTAAAATCGTGTGCCCCGAAAGCAGCAAACAACACATCGCTCCGCAACATGGTTTTTAGGAAAATAGTTTGCGAGAGCTCTTACGCTTTTTGGAAACAGCATAGAAGCATGTGTGTTTCAAATGTTCGCCAAATTCGACCAGACGGACCTTTTTGCGCGCGCATGTCCAAGTCATTCGAACCCCCTTGCGCTCGCGCTGGAGGGGACACGATCCCTGTAAAATAGTACCATGCGGGTTACTCGGGCGCGTCGGCCGAACCCCGCCAGTCGACATTGTTCCAAAACCGGCCTCACCGATGCGAGGACACCACCTTGGCCGTCGGCGTGATCAGCGTCGGCGCCGTCATTGGCCTTGCCGTCGTCATCGTCATCATTGTCACCATCACCGGTATTAGTATCATCGTGTACCGTCGTCGGCGTCGCCATGATACCGCGCCCACCCACGTCACCGACTCGCAATGGAATGCCCGCGCGTCAGCGCGGCCGGCGAGACGCGCTGGAAGTGCCCAGCGGTCAGCGCCACCGCGGTAGAGTCGGTCGAGCCAAACTGAGGAGCATGCGCGGGCTGGCGCGGCCGCAGAGATGCACCAGCCAGCCCCGAACACACATTGCAAGCGCCGCCGCATGGGTTGTGCAAACCAAGTTGCGGGTTGATGGGCGGGATGACTGCGCGAGCAGTGCAGTTGACACTCTCAAAGTTTTTCGGGACGCCTCGTGGGCGCCCCGCGCTTCGGGGGTATACCGAGATTGCTCCACATTGCTGTCCGTGCCGCCTCGGGGCCGCCCCGCGCCTGGGGGATATGCCGAGGTTTCGCCGCATTGCCGCCCGTGCCGCTTCGTGGGCGCCCTCGTGAGGGAGCCCACGAAGGACGCACGCGCCCAGCCATGTGCATGAACACGGCCCCTTGACCCGCGAGACTGGCCGTGTGATACGAATATTCGCGCAGTGCGAACTCTCGAAACCAGCGTGGATTCATGTGCGCGTGCGTCCTTCTTTCGCTCCTGACTCATGGACGCCCGGCGATTGGGGGGAGATGCAGAGGTTACGCTGTGTTGCAGTCCAGGGGCGCCTCGTGGGCGCCTCGTGGGCGCTTCGGGGGTGCCCCGTGCTAAGAGCTTACACTGCATAGCTCTCACCACAAAGCTTCAACCGCATGTACTGCACAGCATAGCTCACATCACATTGCTTACACCCCATAGATGCTTCACCTCCCGATCACACCGCCCAGCTTACCAGACATGGCTTACACCGCATAGCTCACATCGTAGCTTGCACCGCATACGCGGCACATCCACAGCCGACACCACGCAGCTTGCACCACACAGCGTCCACAGCGCAGCTCACAACGCAGCACGTCCACCTCCGCCATGGAAAGTCGCGCTGTTTGGGGCCCACGCTGGCTGACGAGCTTCTCCCGCGCACTCTTCTGCGGAGGAGGAGGACGACGACGACGAAGACGACGACGACGGCGGCGTGGACCACCAAGAGGGGCACAGGCCCCAGCGGCCTCCTCTGCCAGCGCGAGCAGCGGTGCCTCGTCGACGCGCCCACCACCGTGCTCGCGGAGCCTCTCGGCGGGTGCGGGTCCAGACGAGGTGCCCCCCGCCTCCCCCCCCCGTCACCAGCAACATCATCATCACCACCACAGCCAACATCATCATCACCATCAACATCACCATCACCATCACCATCACCATGACCAACATCATCATCATCATCATCATCATCATCATCATCATCATCATCATCAGCAGCAGCAGCATCACCATCATCCTCATCCTCACCCTCACCCTCACCCTCATCCTCGTCCTCATCCTCATCCTCCTCCTCATCATCATCATCACCACGACAGCCAGCATCCCATCTTCCTCCTCATTGTCAGCATCAGCATGACCATCACCATCACCATCATCACGATCGGAGGTTGCGCGAGTGGAGCTGTGAGGAACCAGAACGGAAGCAAGTCCGTATTTTGATTGACCACCGCGTGGCCTGCCGACGTTGGACGGCGTTGGCCTCGACGATTGAACGGCAGCGGTGAGCGATTCCACAAAATATGCCAGATCGGATGCCAGACGCGCAGAGAAAGAGGCCTTGCGACAGTCTTGTGAGCAGTGCGAGAACATATTCATTTCGAACGACGCCCTCGCTACACATATGATGCGAGCCATTTGGCATCAGAAGCCCGTCGGTGCCGTCTCGGCGTCCTAGGCCATGGTATGCCCGATGTTGCTCGTGAATGTGGTATACACGGCATGCGAGACCTCACAAAATACCGAGCAAAGCAGTGCTACGGTAACCTGCTTCTTATTCGGGAGAAGCGTTGCCCCTGGCAAGGCACAATATGTGTCCGGTGGTGGCCTCAACGGTGGATTGCATTTGCTTCTGGACACAGTCGATATGCGTGTATGTACACAAATGTAGATAAAGGATGTAGATTTAGCTGCGCATGTATACGTGTACGTATATGCAAGTGTATAAACCTCATGGTTTTAGTATGTAAATATGTAAATGCATATGTATATGAAAATGAAAATGTAGGTGGGCATGGTGATGTGTGGGTATGTGTACATCATCATATTCATGTATATACATATACAAATGTACATATTCCCATGCATCGGCACATGTAAATGTATACGTATATGTACATGTACATGTGCATGTCAGAGTGAGGGGGCCGAACGGTCATTCACTGTCCCTGGGTGCGTGGCTGAAGCGGAATTCCGCGGTGCGGATTATCGTCGTTGTTGTTGTTGTTGTTGGTTGTTGTTGTTGCTGTTGTTGTTGTTGTTGTTGTTGGTTGTTGTTTGTTGTTGTTGTTGTTGTTGTTGTCTGTTGTCGTCGTCCCACCCGCAACCCGCCCAGCGACTCACCCGCGACCCAACCCTCCAGTAACTTTGCCATGGCAAACTGCCTTGATCAGAGAAGACGGGAAGCATAAAGTGGAACAAAGGACTGCGTTGCAGTTATCTTGGGAAAGGAGGGGGAGGCAGGAGGAGTAAACAGGGGACGAGGAGAACGCGGCAGAAGAGAGAATGTCAGAGTGAGGGGGCCGAACGGTCATTCACTGTCCCTGGGTGCGTGGCTGGAGCGGAATTCCGCGGTGCGGATTATCGTTGTTGTTGTTGTTGTTGTTGTTGTTGTTGTTGTTGTTGTTGTTGTTGTTGTTGTTGTTTGTTGCTGTTTGTTTTTGTGTGTTGTTGTTTCTTGTTGGTTGGTGTTGTTGTTGTTGTTGCGGTTGTTGTTGTTGTTGTTTGTTGTTGTTTGTTGTCGTCGTCCCACCCGCAACCCGCCCAGCGACCCACCCGCGACCCAACCTGCGACCCACCCAGCGACCCACCCGCGACCCACCCGCGACCCACCCGCGACCCACCCCGCGACCCACCCCGCGACCCACCCCGCGACCCACCCCGCGACCCACCCCGCGACCCACCCGCGACCCACCCCGCGACCCACCCCGCGACCCACCCGCGACCCACCCGCGACCCACCCGCGACCCACCCGCGACCCACCCCGCGACCCACCCGCGACCCACCTCCGACCCAAACCACGTTGAAGGTACAAACCACCATTTTCGGCGCCTGCGGCGGGCTTGTTTTGCATTCCTTCCAAGTGGAGAGCCCGCGACCCACCCCGTGACCAACTCGCGACCAACCCGCGATCCAAACCACGATCCAAACCACGTTCAGGGTACAAACCACATTTTTCGGCGCCTGCGGCGGGCATCTTTTGCATTCGCTCCCGGTAGAGAACCCGCGGCCCACCTGCGACCCACACCACGTTCAGTGTACAAACCAAGTTTTGGTGGCGCCTGCGGCGGGTTGCTGTTGCATTCCTTCCAGGTGGAGGTGGAGAGCCCGCGACCCACCCGCGACCTAAACCTCGTTCACTGAACAAACCAATGCCGCACAAGCGCGGCGGAGGATTTTCGCGTGCCGTCTGAGCCCGCAAGGACCTCTTCAAGCCCCGCGCATCCACACCAGCCCGTCCAGTAACTTTGCCCTGGCGAGTTGCCTTGATCAGAGAAGGCGGGAAGCATAAAGTGGAAAAAATGACTGCGTTGCAGTTATCTTGGGAAAGGAGGGGGGGGCAGGAGGAGTAAACAGGGGACGAGGAGAACGCGGCAGAAGAGAGGATGTAAGGATAATGTGGAGAGAGAAAAGGAGGAGGAGCAGGAGGACGAGGAGGGGGAGGAGGGGGAGGAGGGGAAGGAAGAGGACGAGGAGGGGGAGGAGAAGAAGGATGATGATGATGGACGAAAATGGGAGGACGATGATGGAGGCCGATGAGGGGGAGGACGACGATGGAAGGACGATGATGAAAGGACGAGGGGGGGAGAGGGAGGACGAGGAAAAACAGGAGGAGGAGGGAGGAGGAGGACGATGACGATGAGGACGAGGACGAGGAAGAGGAGGAGGAGGAGGAGGAGAAGATCGCCATCGACAAGGAAGGTGGGGGCCACGAGGTCCGCTGGCTCGACGACGCCCGCGTCGCCCGCGCCCGCCCCCTCACTCTTATCCGCAATTGCGGGGTGCTACGTATATGCATATACATATGAACATGTTCATGTACGTGTAAGTGTAGATGCACAATGTACATGTACATGTACCTGTACGTTTACATGTATATGCATATGTATATGTATATGTGTATGTATATGTATATGTGTATGGACATGTGTTTGGGAACTACGTCTACACATGTAGATGTATATTTAGATGTAAGTGTAGATGCACATGCACATCTTCATGCATACTGATATTTATATACGTATAGATGCATAACACTATGCAGCCGTGTACGTACGTGTATGCGTATACGCAAATATAGATATGCATGTACATGTATCTACATATGTACATGCGTCGGTTCCTATTGCAATTGTCATCACCTCCTTGAGTATGTGCATCCAGAGTGGCCATCCGGCTGGGCAACATCAAAAAGGAAGCACCGCACTATAACAAGTATGTGCACATGGCCTGGGAGCCAGATAAAGCGGAATCCAGGAGGCTACACCGACACGAGCCATCATCACAGGTGCCCGTCCCGAATCGCACACCTACAACGAGGCGTTGCATCAGGCCAACACTGGTCAATTGGCGACCCACTCGTGGGCAACCTTGGACCACGGTTAAGAGACCACTGCATGACTTGGATACCACTCGCTGAGCTGCTTCACGTCGCTCTCAATATCTTCCACCAGTCTATCCTCGTCATCATCATCATCATCATCATCATCATCATCATCATCATCATCATCATCATCATCATCATCATCATCATCATCATCTGCATCACCTTCATCGTCCTAATCGTCGGCATCGTCGCTACCCTCATCCGCAAGACCATTAACGCCGACAATGTCTATGCCGTCGTTATCGCAAACATCGTGAGCACCATCGTCGTTATTTTATTGTCGCCAATCCCGTTACCGTTACCGCCATCATCGTCACAAACAACATCACCATCGTCACCATCCTGAGAATCAGCATCACCAGCACCACCACCATCATCAGAGCCGTCGTCACAACCCCCCCCCCATCCAACGATCAACGCATACTGCTGCGGCCGTAGATGTTCCCGCGGCTGTCTTTGGCTTATAAAAATAAATAACACCAAAACAAGCCCTGGGGCTTCCCCGTACGTACACCCCCTCCGGCCTGTGAGCTGCAGCCCCTGGCCCAGACCGAAGGGAAGCGAACAGAAGCCTCAGCTGGCCGCGCCTGGCCGCCGTGCATTGGCGGGCGCGTGCAGGGCGAAAGCGCGGCGCATTGCCGAAGAGGCACTGCGTTGCCGCGCCGTGTGCCGCTCCTGCGGACTTCCGGAAGCAGAGCTGCATGTAGTTCGCATAAGCCGATCACCGCATTCATCCTCATCAACAGCACCAACACAACCATCAGCATCATCCTCATTGCTTTCATAACCACCACCACCAGTATCATCATCATCATCATCATCATCATCATCATCATCATCATCATCATCACCATCACCAGCATCATCATCATCATAGTCGCGAACATCATCACCAGTATCAGTCATCAGCACCAGCATCACCATACCACTGTCATCGTCATTCGCATCGTCACTACCAGTATCATGTATCATCATCATCATAACTATCATCATCAGCATCATCATCAGGATCCTCGCCATCATTATTATTAGCACCTTCGGCACTACAATGACCATCATAATCATCATCACGATCATCATGATCATCGCCGTCGCCAGGGCCAGCACCGTCGTCATCACCATCGCCATCACCACCATCATCATCAGCAACGTCACCATCGCCTACATCCAGTCACTATCGCCATCGTCACCTTCATCAAAGGATGGGCGACTTGGGTCGCCGACTTCCTCGTGGACGTCGTGACCGGGGAGGGGCGAAGCCAAACTGTAATGCTTGTGGGCATCATAGAACCACGAACGCCACAGTGCCTGTGAGCACCACAGTGCCTATGAGCATCACCGTTGTGCCTGTGGTGCACCATCTCTACCTGTGAACTCCTTAGTACCTGCGAGCACCACTGAACCTGCGAACAAGGAGGATGAGGACCCC